AAGAGAAAGTTAAAAGCAGCTAACTACTGAAGGCAAATCTGTAACTGACTACAATACACAGTTACGGTACATAGCTTTAAGCACTGAAATGATCCAATGCTGCATCTGCTGGTATTCCTTCCCCAAAAGGGAAAGAGCTTGGACACTCAAAGAGAAAAATAAGTAAGCCTGGAATGTGGAGAAGTAACACTGAAGGTTTTAGGCTACAGAGCCCAAAAATAAGCATTAGGAAAGAAACATAACTAAAATAACAAAACAACTAATGATAAGTATGGGAAATGGAGACTGGCCACAGAACTGTCAATGCTGTCAACAGAACTGTCTCAAAGGAAATGGAAGGCAAACAATCTCTACATCCCTACCGTACACTGAATAAGCTAGAAAGCCTGGAGACAAACCTAGTCTTATGCTGAGGGAAGCAGCTCTCAGAGTCCTCCAGAGGAACAGTAGACAGTTGTAATAATGTAGCATCTGCCCCCTGTATAGCATAGCCCTTCAAATTCCTGCAGCCCTGAACACCCATCTACTGCAGTCACTCCAACTGTAAATTCTGACTCATGCAGGAGATGCAGGACCACACTTTCCAAAGGAACATAACAATAGTTTCCTTTTGAGCCTCTCATTTGGCATGGGCCAGGGCAAAGACAACCTTTTTTTTATCTGTCAGCCAAACCCATCAACAAGTGCGTCACTCCAGACGCAGCAAAACAAGCAGCCTCCACACTTGCAGAGCAGCCAGCTCCAACACCTTGCCCCTACCTCATTGATCTGCCGCCGCTGTGCAGAGATACGCTTCTGCTTCTGCTTGTGTAAGTGCTGCTCCCGCTTCTTCACATACTCATCAGAGGAGTAGGCCAAGGGGTTGTGAAACTCATCATAGCCCTCATCCATCATATACCAGTCCCGGTCCGCTTGCTAGGAGAGAGATGCAGTACTGAGCTACGTTGCTTGCCCAGCTGGGCTAGACTCTGGTGCCGCTCCTCACTCAGCCACTGGGAGAAAGCTGACTACCACCAGTACAATACCAGCTGCAGACCCAGGCCCCACTGGTGCTTTGGGCTAAGTGGCAGCAGCCAAGAGCCTGGTGTCTACTGAGCACCCTGCTCCCTGTCTGGGCTTCTTACCCGTTGGTCATCCTCCCACTGCTGGCGTTCTTCCTCCGTCTCAAAGGCAATGCCCTCCTCTCCGTCCTCACGCCGTCCTAAAGAAGGTGAGATGGTCAGCACAGGCCACCAACCCCACCAGGCTGTCGCGTGTGGAGGAAATCCCACAAAACCTGTCCTTGTGCTACACAGGGATTCTGTCACTGTCCAGCCTCAGCAGCCCACTCTAGGCTCCTCACCTCTACCTCTGGACAGTCGTGGTGTGGACCCCAGGTGTTTCCGGTCATCAGCCCACTCATTATATTTGTAGGATGGGGTGGGCAATGGTGTCTTATCTGAATACCTGCTCCTTACAGACCTGAGAAGACAGCACAAGAGAGAAATCAGTGCACAAAGATAAATGTCCATCTTACACATACCCTTCCCTTTCTTGCAGATCATCAGATCATAGATTGCACACCCAGCTAATGATACCTGTCTCGGTCTCTCCGATCTGTGTCCCGCGATGCCCGGTGGTTGCGCTCTGAGTCTCGATAGGAAGGTGTGGGTGAAGGAGATTCCCACTGTGAGCGGCGGGAACTGCTGTAACTGCTATCATCCTCCTCCCAGCTGGAGCGAGATGGCGTGGCTGCATCTAGCAGAGGAGACTGAGTGTGAAACAGTGTTCACACTGTGATCTTAAGAACCTATGGCCATTTTACACCTTCTAACAAGGAGCACAGAGAAGGTACCCATCTGCTCTCCTTCTAAAGGTATCAACTCCAAGGAAAATTGCCAGAGGACCACGTCTCTTATCACAGACTTGGAACAGACCCCACTGGGCAGGGACTGGCCAGATCTTCACACACACCTGGCAGATCATTCCCAGTCCCAAACTCCTGGAAGAGCACGAAGTTTTATGTGTGTCCTAACCACAAGTCTTAAAAAACATAGGCTTCTTCACTTGCACTCATACTAACAAAAACAGCAGAACCCTTCCTCTCCCCCACAATTAAAAACCTTTTCTTGTTAGGTCTCATCTGAGATCTCTACTGAGTCCCACTCCTACCTTTGGGACGATGCTTGGGACTCTCTGGTTCACTCCTCCTGCTGTTCCGCTCCAATGAGCCATCTCTTTCTGATCTGCTGCTGTGACGACTTTTGTCCCAGTCCTCTGCAGACAGAAAACAAGATCAAGCACCCCGTGTACAAACAAACTTCCCAAATCTGCCTAAAAAATACACTGAACGTTAGTCAAGGGCAACAGAGAGAATAAAGACTGAAACCTAAGCAGAAAGTAACAAAAGCCTCAAGAAGTTACCACGGTCCCGTTTACGATCGTGGTCCCGATCCCTACTGTGCTCCTTCTTCCGTTCCTTCTCCTTTGAGGAGGCAAAGACACCATGTTCACGACGCTCTCTTTCCCGCTGCCGGCTGCGTTCCCAAAACTCCTCACTGACACCACCTGTGTAGGAAGGTGTTTCCACATGGACGGAACGATAATGCCTAGAGAGGTAGAACAGAAGTTAAAAACATTCCACGGTGCTGAGGAATAGCTGGCCTCTAACTTGTCTCCTGCAGTTCTAGTCCTGATCTCTGCTACAGCAGACGCATGTGGTTGAGAATGCTCTCTCTCACAGTATACCCTGGCTTTCAGACATAAGCACTTCTAAGCAAACTGCTGCTTCCAAAGATCAGGAGGCAGAGGTGACGTGCACAGGCGACAGGTGTTTGCAGGCCTGGTAGCATCTCAGAACATTCCTGGCCTAACATCTCAGGGCAGGCACCAATCAGATACTTCCGAGTCGTCCTCACATCCAGAGATTTGAATCCCACAGCCCCGCTCCAGGGCCGGGGGTAGAGACCCCCACAGCACACGGCACACAGCTGCCGCCACGCTCACGGCCGGGCACCAGCAGGAATCCGGTGGCTGCCGGGGCGCGGCGGCCCGCAGAGAGCCCACCTGTCCTTGCGGGCGCTGCGACGGCTCCGATCCTCCTCCTCGTCCTCCTCCTCGTCGGGGCTGCCCGCCTCGTCGCGGCCCTCCTCCCAGTCCCTGTAGGAGGACACTCGGGACCGTTTTCCGCCCGTCCCCTCCTCCTCACGTTCGCGCCGCTTCTGGGCCGCCAGCACGTCCAGGCCCAGCAGCGAGGCCCGCGGCGCCGGCGCCTTGAAGACGTGCTGCTCGGCGGCAGCGCTGCGCGCCCGCGGGACCAGCCCGCCCGCCTCGGCCTCGGGGCCGGTCCCGGCCAGTCGGTGCAGCGACGCCTCGCCCATCGCCGCCGGTCGCTACCACGCTGCGGAAGAACGGACTGCCGGGCCGCAGCGGGGACGCATGAGGCCTACGGACAGCCGCTCCGCGCGACGCAGGGCCGGCTCGACCCTGCTCCTGCCGGCAGTTGCCTCAGCGACCGCAACCCAACCCCGAGAGCGCCGCCATGGCTGCCCCACAGCGCTCCGCGAGAAGAGCCGCTCTAGGCCTCGTGCACCATAGACAGAACGGGCGGAGCTTGTAGGCGTCCCAGAGACCATAGAGTCCGACGGCCACTAAACGGAATGGCCCGCGGCTCTCTTGGCGGACTTCCGGCACGGTAACCCTATGACGCTACGAGGGCGCGACCGGAAGACCGCGGGACCGGGGCGGAAGGGGCGGGAAAGGCCCTGGAAGGCGGCTGTGCGTGGTGCCGCCCGCAGCGCTTCGTCCCTCGGCGTCTCGGAGAGGTAAAGGCGGCGCCGCGGCCCCAGCCCAGGACGTCGCCCAGCTGTCCCTGGCGCGTGTAGTCCTTCCGGGGCAGGTGGGACGGGCAGCACGGCCGCCTCCAGGAGCTCCTTCTGACTGGGTTCAGACGCAGCGCAGGGCACAGCACGGCCTGACGGCTCGGAGCCGTGAACCTCACCAGCACTTCGAGAGGTGCCGTGCAACTTAATTATAGCAATAGACAGCACTGTCCCACCGTCCCTCTGCAGCCATCCCGGCTGGGTGCAAAGCGACTTCTGGCCGTGCTCTGGGGCCCGTCTGGCTGCCTCGAGGCTGGCTCAGCCAAAAGCGCAGGCCAGAAGATGGGTTGCAGCCCTGGCCTGCCCGCGGGTGCACAGATCACAGCCCACACCCCGGTGTGGTCAACCACCACCACGCTCAGGGTAAATACGCAGCTGGAAGGCATAGAACATCTCCATGGCTGTCACAGACCAGCAGCAGAGCACAGGCAAAAGCACTGTAGGACACACAACTTCCCCACGGTCAGGAGAACCAACTTCAGTCCAGGTGAACAAGCGCTTCCCAGGATCGTGTCCAGAGCCAGCATATGAAAGCCAATGGTCAGATATCCCTGTTAGAACTGCAGACAGCACTGTGTCAGAACCAAGGCATCTGAGAAATAAAAGGGGTGGTGCAGGGTACACAGCACCAAGAAGAGCAAAGGATTACAGACAGCCATGGGTCGGCACTCATACCTACTCTTGTGAAAGGCTGCTCCTCAGGACCACAAACAGGTTTGGTGGAGCTCAGCACCATCATGCAATCCCATGGCGCAGGACAGTGGGGAATTGCTGCAGAGGGAACACTACATCCAAGTCACACAGCCTCACTAAAAGACAGGCAAGAGACTGCTGGAGGTCCAGGGTGAAGCAGCAGTTGCTGCCAAAAAGCCCCAGAGACATAACTGCTGCCAGAGGAGTGAGAAAATGGGGCCTTCCCATAACAAATGATAGAGCAAAACCACAGCTGTCTGAGCAAGGGGAAAAAACAGCTCCTGCCATCTGGAGGTGAGCGCCCCAGGTACAGGTACAGCTGGGGACACCACAATGAAGCCAGACACTGACTAGGAACAATGCAACACACAGATCCCTTGGCTGAGAGCTAACCATGTCCCTAGAGTCTGGGCAGCTGAAGGGGTGGCAGCAGAGCAACACACAAGACAAGGTAAGAGAAATGTTTATTAACTCTAGGTCAGGATCAGAACCCACAGGTTTAGTAAAGCACTGTACAGAGAGCAGATGAGGACAAGCAAGGAGAGATGTCACTCCAGAGGCTGTAGTGCATGACCCAGCACTAGCCAGAGGGAGCAGGAGAGGTTCCAGAACTGAAGGGCAGAAGGGATACCCAAAACATTGCTTGGGCTCTGGTCAGTACTCTAGGGAAGGTGGGCACAAGACTGTTCTTTCACTTCACTGCTGGCCTTCCTCCAGGGCCTTTCTCAGGTGGAACCTGACCACCGCTTGCTTTTGCTGGGGAACACAGCCTACAGGAAAGCCAAAAGTACAGCCCTGGGCAGTGGCATTAGTACAGAGACCCCTTCCCCAGCTTCCCACCAGTACAGCCCCAGCTCCTCTTACTGACCCTTCTCAAGGGCCAGGACCAGGGCATTGGCTTGGTCCCAACCTAACCACTCTGGAAACATCACAGCCATTCCTGGTTTGCCATGGCTCCTCTTGGCTAGATCTTGATCCTGCAATCTGTCAGCGCCGGTGATCTGCTCCAACTGCTTCCATGATGCTCTTGAACCCCTGCTCCCTAATCAGAAACAGTGCATGACAGCTTAGCAGGCCCAGCACTGCTGCTCAGCCCCAAAATGCCAGTCCCAATTCACGCGCAGGCACCCAGCTGCCACAGCCTTTCCTGGGTCCCTTGCTCACCTTAGCAGCTCCTCCAGCTCCCGCTTCACCGCTCCCACCACTGGGGGCCCATGGTACACTAGTGCTGTGTACATCTGTACAAGCGAGGCTCCAGCACGGATCTTCTCCAAAGCATCACGGCCACTGCTCACCCCACCCACTCCAATGATGGGCACCTGGCCTGTGGGCAAGTACAGAATCAGGACAGCAGGGGTGAGGACAGGATGCACCCTGAGCCCTGCCCTGTCCCTACCTTGGGTGAGGGCATACATCTCCCGCACTGTCTGTGTGGAAAGCTCCCGCAGGGGCTTCCCACTGAGGCCCCCAGACTCCAGGCGCTGTGTGCTCTGGAGGCCACTGGGGCGGCTGACGGTGGTGTTGCTGACAATCAGTCCATCCACACCAACCTGGAGGAGGCAGCAGCATAAGGACCCAGCTGCTGTGAACAACCGGGTCAACAAACAGGCTGACAGGCCAGCCTGGATGTCTCCCAGCAACATACCCAGCAGTCATCCCTCACTACCTGCAGTCCCAGAGGTCTGGTGGGATGCACACAGACCTTCAGACTTACAGCTAAACAGAATGTTGTCCCTCCAGCCAGCCAGAACTATAGGTCTGCTGTCCCTTCGGAGGGACCAGGACCACTGCTGTCTGGCACCATACTCAGGCAGAGCAGGAGGTGCACACACCCAGCTTCTCACCAGCCTCCCCTTCTTACCACCACTGTGCTGGGCCCCCACCCCCTCACCTCACATACAACACCAGCTATGTCCTGCTTGTCCTGCTCAGTGAGATCCGGGGCAATCTTTACCAGCACAGCTGGCTTACGCTCACATGGCAGCATGTCCCTCTCTGCCAGCACCTGCAGCAGGACACAAAGGAACAGTGTTTATTGGGGGCACCACCTGTACCCACAGCCACAGGTAGCATAGTGTCAGGCTCTTTTGTCCCCATACAGCACCAAAGGCACAAAAGGCCTGGGGCGTACAACACACACGAGTTGAGGGCCCAGGCAGAACTGTGGTTACTTGTGATGCCATGATGTAGGTGGCTTGCAGGAGCAGAACATAGAGCAGTGCCTCACTATTCACCTGCCACTTCCTAGAGAACAGCACTCCCGTGCACAACACTGGCTCACAGATTCAGTAGTTGATCAGAGGACATCTTGGTGGCTTTGCTCACCAACCCAGGAAGCCTCTCTCCTCCCTGCATTGGAGGTGCTCCTCACCCACCTTGGTCAGCAGGTCCCGCAGCTCAGCCTTGCCCTGAAGGTCCCGCAGCCCTGGAGTATTTGGGCTTGACACATTCACAACCAAATAGTCAGCTAAGGGGCCCAGCGTCTGGACTCCAGCCACGTAGTCAGCTGCAGCATCTGTAGAGCTCTTGTTCTTGCCCAGATTGACTCCAAGAGGCATCCCCACTGGAATGCAGAGATGCCTGAACCAGTACAGAGGGACCACCCAGGGGCCAGAGCACTGGACAAGAAAGGCCCTGTACCAGCTAAAAATTGAGGTGAGGATGAGTTTCCTAGAGCTGGACCTCAGACCATCCTCCAGCCACAGAAGCATTGCTGCAGCTGGCCCAGTCAGCATTTCCCAGCACCACTGTCTCCAGACAGACCACTCAGAGAGACTGCCCTTGGAAACCACCCAGCTGGAGCCCTATTGGCTCTGCATACTTCCCTTGGCCTGCAGCTAGCTTGGTGCCCCCCAAATCCATTCTGCCAATCCCTAGAGCAAAGCCTTACAAGCTTGTCTCACCAGTTGTGAGCTTGAGCTGTGCCTCCTGGCGGGCCCGCAGCCTACGCTCCACCGCAGCATGGCCATGGCTGTTGAATCCATATCTGCATCAGAAAAAGTGGTGTTCAGGGCCGGTTGGTGCTTACCAGGCCTTGGCAGGAAAAGAGAGCAACAAGGGGAGCGGCCTGGCCCCGTGGGTCAGCTCAGGACACAGTCCAGCATTCAGGTGACAGTTGTGAGCACCCACAGTACCCTCTGCCCGCCCCGCACCAGCAGCAGCCCCTTCCAGCGATTTGTGAAACCCCACCTGTTAATGACTGCCTCGTCTTCCACCAGCCGAAAGACTCTGGGCTTGGGGTTGCCCTCCTGAGGCTCGGGCGTGACAGTTCCCACCTCCACAAAGCCGAAGCCCATCCTGTACAGCCCGTCCACAGCCTCGCCGTGTTTGTCGAAGCCGGCCGCCAGTCCCAGCGGGTTGCGAAACCGGAGCCCGAGGACGCGCACCTCCTGCGGGGAAGCGCCGCTAAGGCAGCGGCAGCAGCAGCCGCCCCGGACGTTTCTCCCGCACGAACGGCCCCGCGATACCCTCACCGCCTCCCACCCGGGGCCACCCCACGAGCCCCCGCCGGGACCCTCCGCCGTCGGGCAGGGCTCGGCCGCCTCCCTGCCGCCCGCTCCCGGCGCCGCATCCTCCTTCGCCTCCCCCCGCCTCTCCCTCCCGGCCGCGGAGCCGTACCAGCGCGGGGCTGTCGGGACGGGCGGGCGGCAGAAGCCCGAGGGCGGCAGCGCGCAGGGCCAAGCCGTGGGCGGCCTCCGGGGTGACGGCGCGGAGCGCGGGCATCACCGCCGCGGAGTAGAGCCGCTCGTCGCCCGCCGCCAGCGCCGAGCCCAGCAGCAGCAGCCCGCAGCCTCCCAGCGCCGCCGTCAGCAGCCGCACGCGCCGCCGCATGAGCTCCGCAGCCCCGCTCCCGATCCGCGCTCTCCGCCACGCGTCTCCTCGGCGCCGCCCCGCCCGGGCAGAGCCGCTTCCTGCAGTCAGAGCGCGGTTGGCGGAGGACGGCCCCTGGGCCAATAGAAACACAGCAGGACGCCGGGCGGGCAGCCGGAAAGCGAACGGAAGCGGCGCCAGCGAGGGACAAACGGGGCGGGGCCCGCAGGAACGGCCCGCGCGGCTCAGCGGCGTCGGGAGCGGGCGGGTTGAAGGAGAACGGGAAGGCACCAACCCGACGGCAGATCTTCGTCCACGGGACGTAACGTGCTGGTACCGACCCTTCTCTCTCACACACACACGCACTCATCACTGCCGCCGCCTCCCCCTCGGGGCCCTCCTATGTACACTCGCCCAGAAGAGCCGCACCGCAGCAACCAAAGGCAGCCCGGAGCCCGCAGCTACAGCTGCTCACAGCCCATCTTTATTAGGAACTAATCTTAAGATACAAATCCACCAAAAAAACTTCGAAGAAAAGTAGTGTGTTATGTACAGATACGTTGTACAGAGGAGAGTACACCATATTCAGCACCGCCTGACAGAAACCAACCACCACTGCACAAACAGCTCTGCCAGCATCCCACCAGAGGCTTCCTATCACCCTGCTCTGCCCATCAGCCAGATTCCCAAGGACCAGCTCTCCACAACTTTGGGACACTCTGGAACAATGGAGCAGATACAGCCCACACTGCAGTGCCCCGCAGGCACACCCTCTGTTCTCTACACACACTTCCAGCAGGTTGTGTGAATGCACTGCTGGAGCAGCAAACTGTACAGCACTGCTCCTGTGTGAAAGGGGAGCAGCCCCCCCTGCAGACAACGCAGCAACAGCCACAGGGCGCTCCCTGAGTGTTCACCCAGTCTGAAGGAGGGGTTTCCAACACAAACTGCAACCAGGTCCAGCTGGAGCCAGATGGATGGCACTAGGGTACCACAAAACCAAAAGGGCAATACCATGTCCACTCACAACAGTAATTCCTGCCTCTGCCCCAATTAGTTAAAAATCTTACCACAGAGAGAAATATATATATCACTCTGACCATACATACCATAGATCAGAGCAGGGCAGCTGGTAGATAACACTCCCTTTGAAACCAGAAACATGAAGAGAAAGCCCTTTCAACCTTCATCACCCTTCTCTGTGGAAGAGAGCACAGAGCTGCCACAGAAACAGCCAGGAACATCAATCAAGGCAAGGCCTTTCTCTATAGCTACCTAGATTGGTTGGAGCTGTTCCCTGCTTTCATCTCCTAAGAGCCTCCACAGTTCAACTCCTGGAGCAACAAGGACTGGGAAAGCATCAGCATTTGGTTTAAGTACAGCAGGAAGAGAGCTCAAAAAAGAAGTGTTCATTTGAGGTTAATACAGGAAACCAATCAAAGGGAGAGTGTTTCAGAGAGAAGCAGCAGTCACAGCTCCTGCCTGTTCATTGGAGTTATAGCCCAATTAGTCTTATGTTTTCTTCTTTAGCTCCTCAAATCTCCGAGAAAGATCATCAAAGTCAATGTCTTCAGAAGCAGCAGAATTGGCACCAGCAGATGCTGTTGGCAGTGTATCCGGCACAGAAGGTAATTCAGGCAACACAAAATTATCAATGGTATTAGGAGGTCCAACCCTTGGTTTTGGAGAAGCTTCAGGCTTGGGTCCAGGCCCTGTTTAGAATAAGGAAAAAAGAACAATTTCACCCCACTCACCACCACATTCATCAGGCCAAAAGACAGAGGCACAAAGAAAATTGCTCTACTAAAAAGGCAGTACCAATGATGAGTGTTAACACAGCTCCATCTCTGTTTAAGACTCAGTGGGGAAAAGATTTACATGGCTGCAAGGAGCTGCAGCCATGGGCCGGTCACCCCATTGCACAACATACTACAGACTTCCCCTCTGCTGCCCCAAGTGAGCTGCAGGGCAGTGCAGCTGCAGCTCCTGCATACTTCTATCAGCTGGACTGCACGTCCCAATTTTCTCCATTCCAACACCTCCTAAAGAGACACATAGGTACCAAGGTATGCTCCTATCACCCAGATGTTAAACAGAGGTGTAGCAATTCCAGTGCAACCATAAGCACATCTCCATCATACACCATCACCACTTCCCAAAGGACTGTCAGGAATCCTCGCTGGAGATAGCAAGTGGCAACTTACTTCAAAACCTGCTCTGACCGAATCAAATGCTAGAGATAACAGATGCTTTCAAAACTTACAGAGAAGAAGTGCACTGTGCAAGACTGGAGAGATTAACTGTGATCCAATTACAGTGCCTGAAGTGCATCACAAACATTCAGGTAGATGGACAGAGAGAGAACAACTCTCTCACCAGCTATGCTCCACTGCATTAATATGAACTTATCTACCTCTTAGTGCCTGCTTTTTTCTTTCTGCTCCTGAAGAATATACTGCTTACATTGTATAAAAATGTATTATTTAAATCCATTGCTTTCCCATTTTCTTCTGCAAACTTCTGGATTTGGTTTGACAAGTTAGCTTAAGCTAGAAACCTAGTTTAACTTCAAAGTCAAACTCTAATTCTTAAGTTTCTCAGATCCTCCCTGTGTGAGAAAATCTCTTTATTTCTACCAGCACCCTCTCCAAACTCAAATCCTGCTCTCAAGATATGTCAAGTTGTACACATTGTTCCACATAGGGAAAGCCTACTCACAAGGACACTAAGATCCCAAGCTAACCACAGCTCCAAACCACCTCCAGTTTCCCACACCTCGACATACTCACCTGCCACCGATGCAGAAGCAGCATCCTTGTCAGCATTAGGCTCATCAATCTGAAAAAGGCTCTCTGTTACTATAGCTCTCCCATCCAGCAGGCACAGAATGCCAAAGCCATACAGGCAAAGCTCATAGGCAACAGCAGCCACAGTCATGCACAACGATGCATATGATAATCCCCCCAAGGAAAAAAAACCAACAAACTCTAATTTCCAGTACACTCAGAAGAATCTGACCCTCCTTCCAAGGAGGCAGTGCTTTCATTTCCCTCCCTCCTTGTCAACCAAAGCAGCTTCACTGGCAATATTTTGGAACCAGATGAATAGAGTATATACACTAGCAGATTTAAAAATATTTCTCAAGGACAAAAATGAGAGAAGACTGTTCTCTTTCCCCACAAAAATACAGCTACTGCTTACTTTCACAAGCAGTAGATAAGTCCTTGTGACCAGCAGTGATGAAATAAAGGCATCTTGGGTCTTGGATTGGTGGGGACAAAGGCCCAGAGCACGGTCAGTTTTACTGGGAGAACTCTCCCTTCCTGGCAGGCTGCAGTCAGTGCCACCTATCTCTACCAAGATATCTCTATCTCTACAGCTGCTGCACCTACATCTCCTGGACTCAAAGGCTTCTGTACGGCTAGTGCACACAGATACTGAGCTATGCTCATTACTATTCAAGGTTTGTAGAAACAAGCACATCAGCAACAGCAAAATGAGAGGCATGATCACAAACTGCAGGAAATAGACACAGAAAATAAACAACACTCCAGAATCTCCATTCTTATCCCCAAGGACTGAGAAAAGTCTGCAGCCATACCTAAAAAGACTGAAGGTGGTAATCCCATCACGTTACAAAATTTGTGGACTCTGATTGTCAAATGCTTATCATTTTAATAATACAGTTAAAAAAAAAATCTTGGCTTTCACAAGTTTTGGTTGCAGAGGAAAGAACTCCTCACAAGTTTCTCTCATCACATGTACTCAGCTATTCAGCCAAAATCAACACCAAGCACCACCCTAAAAGCTCCAAAAAGGTTGAACAGTATGCTTAATGAACACTTGTATTTTCTGTAGCTATCACTGCCCTCTTCTCGAGTTTTCCTCTGCTGCCTACAGCGGTGATTCATCTCAGGCACTTACAGATTCATATGTTGGTGGGTTTGCTGGAATTGGTGGTGGATGAATGTTAGTGAAAGGCTGGTAGGTTCCCACTGGCAGGCCGTTGAAGTTCTCCTGTACACAGGAGAAATTAAATAGTCACATACCAGCCAATTCATCTGGGAGAGGCTCCACAGGACACAATACATCTACAGCCACTAGGAGTCAGAGAAAGTAAAGCCTAATAAACATGCAGACAAGTATCCAACTTGGTATGGTTTATGCTCACCAGGAGAAGATTCTCAGGTATTAGTCAGACACAGTCACTTGCAACCAGCTAACAGGACTGTGAGTTATTCTAAAGAACCAGCAAAACTAACACTCACGTCTCACAGCATTATAAGTGACAGGCCAAAAGCTTAACGTTCAGCTGCCAAGAACTTCTATCCCATTTAGTCTCACAATAACAAGATGGCCTTCTGCCACATAAAGCTACCAGGCACAGACACTTTCCAGTCAGCAGATGTGGGGCATCACAGTCAAAGCTCTCCAGAGAAAAAGGGCCTGCTCAAAACATAGGCACTTACCAGTCCCTTTGGAGGTGGATAGGAGAAAGGAGGATTTGTCGATGGCATGGGCATAGGCATTGGCACAGGCACTAAACCATCAAGACCAACCAGTGGGGCTGTAAATCCACCACCTCCTCCCCCTCCATGGCCACCTTTCTTCACATCATCCGTGAATCCCACATCAATCAGATCTGCCTCAACACCTGCAGGGGCTTCAGCCTGGGAAGGAAAGAAGAAACTTTTCAGATCAGAACCTTCTGGGCATTAGCTGCAACATTTGTCCCTGGAAAAGATGGGACAGGAACAGAAGGACAGAACAGATAATAACCTTATTAATGAGAGTCAGATAAGAGACCGGACAATAGTAGCTGTAGGACTTTGGGAAGTAGAAGGGATCCTGCTATGCTAAGACTGTCTAGAAGACATCCAAGTGAAACTACCATAAACTCTGGTGCTATGCCACGATCTTGTGCTCCACAGCGCTAACAGGAAATTTCAGTCACTGTAACATAGAAGGGGACCATAAACTTGCATGTGTCTCACTCACCATCACCACTGAGTCAGGTTCATAGGGAACATTGTAGTTCTTGGCAATTTCAATGAGATATCTCTCCACGAGAATCTTGGGAGGTGCCTCCACACTCAGCTTGTGCATCAGCTGAAACACAAGGGTGCAGAGACGCTCATCAAGAATAGTGCAGAACAGCAGGGCTCAGTCACAGCCAGGGTCACCTGCTGTGGGGAGCACAGCACAGTCTTCAGGAGCCCTTTCCACCCAGCACAGCACTGCAACAGTAGAGGCTTTTGGCAGCCACAAGGCAGGGCTCTAAGTGCTCTGCTCCTCTATATCCATAGAGAAGACAGCCTGGCCCCACCTGACAGGGACATCAACACCATACTTCTGTGCTTAAAGGCAAGCCAGTCCCCACAACTGTCCCACCCAAATCCACAGTCATCCACAGACATCAGCCACACGAACAAGGGGCAGAAATCCACGGCAGATTATCTGTTCTTCCAGCTTCAGCTATTCTACCAGTTCATTACCCTGTCATTAACTGTTCCAATCTGGTTTGTGCGGCACAGTTTTCCATACTCCTTGCTGTATTTGGCGCACAGCTGATCAGCAACCTGCAGCAGGAGAGAAACTTGGGATCATATACATCCTTGCTTTCCCCCACGATCACATATCCTGCATCATCTGCAGTCCCCACAGCCCTCTCCACCTCCGTTTGCCCTAATTTCTGCCACCAAGTGCACCCAGCTGAGCAGCCTTAACCACTCCTGAAGCTTCAGGATTCCCTGTAGCAATGAAACCTGGTACAAGGTCTCCATCTGCAGAGCCTCTAAAACTGTCCTTTGCCTCAATGACAGAGTCCAATGCTAAATCTTCCAATGGTTTCTAGCAGTGCTACCCCCACCCTCCATGCATAACACCCCTTGAACAACCCTACTCACAATCTTCAACTCAGCCACTTCTGACTGGAGCCGTGGTGCAGCCCATATCAGTGTAGACACTGCTTCTGCCAGGCCAGAGTCCAGCTCCCTAAGGATAAAAGAAGGAAATCCTATCTCCACACCACATACTTCATTTTTGCAGCCCTCCACCTGCTTAGCCTGGATGTCCCCAGTCCTTCATGTTGGGCTTTAGATTCTTCCCTGCTGGGGAAGAAGAGGTCTCTTCTACCCCAGCATTCCCCAGCATTCCTAGAACACCAAAATAAGAACAGGTGCCCTTCTGTATTCCCAGCCTGATCTCAGCAGTACCCCTCCCCCAACCCAGGGGGGGCTGGACCCTCCCCCACACAATACCCCTGAAGACAGCGCTTACTTCATGGACTGAATCAAGCCAAAGCGGGCTAGCAGTAGATCGCAGTACAGCTCCAGGATCTCCATGGCCTCCACAAGGTAATCTTCACGGATGATGTGCTCCACACGAATCCTAGCACGCTCATCTTTTCCAGCTGCCAGATAATCTGCAATCTCCTTCCTTGCCTTCTGGGCCAATTCAGCTGAAGCATATATTCCCAAGGCCAGTCACTGTGCTGGCAAGAGCTACTTCCCCTACCACACATACATCCATCATCAACTTCTCTCTCCCCATCAAGCTCAGTCACAGCTTAGTGGAGACCCTGCGTCTTGATCCTATCATGGAAACTCATAGGAGAAAGAAGAGCAGGTTTTTAGCTGCTAGAGACTCCCCCACACCTTCAATTTCCTTGTAGAGTCAACCAGAACCACAGGGTAAATCTTATCCACATCTGATCAGGGCAGAACAGCCTAGTGAGGTGAGTCACCCACAGCACACACAAACTTCCTCGCTATGTAGGCACAGAAGGCCCAGGAAACAACTTCTGGGCAAACTTGGATGTCCTTCCACATATGGCACACAACTGTGACACCACTCACCTTGTGAATCATACTCTGACACCTGCCAGAAAGCTGTACAGAGACCACACTAGGGCCAGCCTACTCCGCTGGGGTCGACATACCCAGGCACAGTGCAAGGCTTGGGTCCAGCAACAGAAAGCAAAGGCTATTTCATACTTGGCCAGCAAAAAAGAACTCCCCTAACTCCAGGAGAAAAAAAAAAAAGAAAAAAATCTTCTCCTCAAGTTTCCTGGGCCCCGAAAGTATCCAGGGTCACACCTACCCCCTCAAATACTCACTCTTCTTTTTTTCCAGCAGTTTGAGGCGATTGATGACAAGGCGTAGGTTGACACGCAGGCGCTCAGCCTTGAATCCAGAGCCCAACATGATGAAGTTTCTATGGGAAGAGAGGGGAACATCATTGGCCCCAGTAACCAGAAAGACACTGGTCTCTGTTTTACTCAGAAAGAAAAGCAGAATTACAGTACTTCACTATGACAAAAAAAAAAAAAAAATTGTAAAGAAAATCTTCTCCAGCGCTAACACCGAAAGATCTGGCTTGTACCAATGGAGTGGGAACAGACTTTTGGGTTATGGTAATACTAAGCACACAGACAGTAGTTTGCATAAATTTACTGCTATTTAGAGTACGTGCAGATGATTGAGCCGATCTGTTCAAACATCAGCGCAGTTATCAACAACACACAGTGCCAACTAAGGTCAAATAAGCACCAATACATGAAAACTTGCAATATATTCACTTGACACCATGAAAAGTTCTGCTCCTCCATAACCTGAATATACTTCTACAACGCGTAAATAACTTTACAGAGCTGCAAGAAAGCCTCAGCACGAGCCGCACCTGCCCTACCAGTCCTCGCTCCTGAGAACACCGTTCCCACCACCGCCCGCCCCGCCTAAGGAAACATCTCGCCCCGCCGACGTGAACCTTCCCCGGGCAGGGCTGAGCACCGCCGGGGCGGCCCTGTGAGAGGCGCTCCGCCCCAGGGAACACGGCAGCGCAGGAGGCCCCGCTCGGCTCCCCCCGGCTGTCAGGCGGTGGGAACAGGCCGGCCTCGGCTGGGCTGACCAACAACCCCTTCCGCCACCCCCAGCCCCACTCACCGCCGCACCGCCGGCCGCAGACACTTAAAATGGCGGCGCGCGCAGCACGGCGTCACTGCGCGCGGAGGGATCCGCCGGGCCGACGGCTCCCCGCCGCCCGCTCGGGGCACGGCCGGGCTGCGGCAGCGCCACTGAGACCGAACGGAGCTGAACGACCCACCGACACGGCAGCGTCCGGGAAAAGCGACGTGGCGGCGGCTGCGAGAGCGCGGCGCTGAGGGACTACGTTACCCGGCGGAGGAACTCTGCTCGCTCCGCCCTTCGGTCGCGCATCTCGGTGCGCTCCCGCCGCCGCCCGGCCCCGGCGCGGAGGTTCCGGCGGCGTCGCGTTCCGCCGCCCCGCCCCGCACGCTGAGCGCACCGCGCTCGGCGGGCGCACGCGCGGGGCGTCCGCGAGAGAGCTCTCGGGAGAGGCGCCGCTGCCATCGGCCCCGGCGGGGTGCCGCGCGCTGCCATCGGAGCGGCCCTGGCAGCCGTGGGTCCCTCCGTCCCGGGGCGGGGCGGCCGCGCCCCGCTGCGCGCCGCTCGGGGCTCCCCGGGGCCTTCGCGTTCGCGAATGGACGCGGGCTGAGAGCCCCCACTGCGGAGCGCTTCGCCCCCGGGCGGGCGCGCGAGCTCGGAAGGCGGGCGGTGCCGCTCCGACCGGCGTGACATCGGTTTCTGCCCTTGCAGGGAAGCGAGGCTCGTGGGCTCGGACGGCCGCCGCCCGAGGCGCGGGGAGCGGAGCGAGGCTCTGCCGGCCGGCACCTGCCCGCGTCCATGGCACGCAGGTGAGCGGCTCTGGGCGGCGGCGAGGGGGGCTCAGCCGGGCCGTGCCCGCGCCGCGCGCTCTGGCGGCGCCGCCATTTTGCCGTCTGTCTGTCCGGCGGCCCTTTGTCTGTCCGCGGCTCCCGGCGCGGGCGGCGGCACCGGGTGAGGCGGGCCGGGCGGCGGGGCGGGGCGGGCGGGCGCCGCCGTTCGTCCCTCCGCGGCCGCGGGCCGGGTTCCTCCGTCCGTCCCTCCGTCGGGGAGCGGGGTCCGTGTGTCTGGGGCCGGGCCTTGGGGCCGGGGTGCCCGCGGGCCGGCGTCCCATCGTCGGGGGAGGCCGGCGGTGTCCGGCGATCGTCTGTGCGGCCGCGGTCGATGGGTTCCGCTCCTCCTTTTGTCAGCGTCCGAGGAGCCGTGGGGATCGATTCTGTCCTCCGTCGGTCGGAGGGTGAGGGCCGACGTTTCCCTTTGTGAAGTTCGAGGGGGTCCGGACGGCGTGTCGGCGCGTGCCCCGCCGCCCGGCGCTGTACCGGAGGGACGATGCTGGCGGGGGTCCGGGGCTGCCCCGCCGGTGGCCGCGCCGCCCGCACGCTCTGCCTGTGAGGCTGCCCCGCTCGCGCGCTGCCTGCAGGGCCGTGCCCCGTCCCTGTGCTGCTCGGGCCGCTCGCGCCGGGGCGGCGGTGTGCCCGGCGTGGGGCTGACGGCTCCTGGTGCCCGGCCTCCCGGGCCGGCGTCTGCTCTGCCCCTCTCTGGGTCGGTTCGGTGGTGGAGGTCATTAGGCTGATGCCTCGTTCGTAGTAGGAGCAAATGGGAGGGAGAAGGGTGCTTGGACTGAGCCCAGTCGCTCATGAAGCGGGGCGTTCTGAGCTTCATGTATGCCGGGTGCAGAATTGCTTATTACTTAGTTTGAATTGGGTGGGCTGCCCGTGCATGGTAAAATGTTTGCGGATTGTGTTGGATACTAGCTCTGAATGTGGCTGTAACTTCAGCCCTGTGACCAAGAAGATGGGGAGTGACCCTGAGACACTCAGCTGTGTTTGTCCAGTGGCTGAGAAAGTCCCAGTGGTGTATGTGACAGGCTCTTCTCTTCTCAGGTGAGCCCTCTGCTGAGGGAACGAACGCACTGTGCTCCCAGGTCAGGGAAACATGTCCCGTCGGAAACAGACCACTCCTAACAAAGTTCACTGTGAGTATTATGTTACACAGCACCACGGGATCCTTGTCATAGATGGATAGTTGTGGAGTGAGAAGGGGAGGAGGGCAGTGATGGAAAGTTACTGTTTGTGGGGGAATGGTTACCTACATTTCGTCCTTGGGCCTGTAATAAGAACTCTGTATGCCAGGGGAGCTGGCAGTGTCCTGACAAGGTAGGACAGGGATAGGCTTGAACAAACTGTAAAGATAGGTTTGTGTGCACAGGGCCTGTAGCTCTGCTTTGTGTTCACACTGTCACAAGCATATGTTAGGCTCTGACCAGTTCTTGGATAGCAAAGAAAGTTCAAGGTAGGGTGGTCCGAGTGTATAACTGAAGTCTGGGTGCCCTGGCTTCTGATCTTTGCTTTGCAGCAGACTCAAAAGACTGGCTTGGACACGTCACTTAAGCTCACTGTACCTCAGTTTTTCACCAGATAATGTGAATAAAGCCATTTGCCTTTTCCTGGCAGGGAATGGACAATGCCTACATCAAATAATGGACAGATGTGATTTGTCAGGCCATTCCTGAGCTGAGCTGAGAAGACGGGTGTCTTTCTCCAGCATTGTCAAGACCCTAACATTTGTTAGATAGCAAAAGAACTGAAGATGCTGTGCATCAGCACTTCTTGTGGGTAGGCTGTAGTGAGGTATTAGTGGAGCTGGGAAACAGCTGTATGGATGTTCAGCTATAGAGGGGCGTCTGCATGGGTTTTGTTTTGGCTGGTTACAAAGGGGAGTTGGGAGTCCGAAGCTATGCCCTTTTATATACCCAGCTTTGGAGATGGATAGATGTTTGAAATCTGGGCTTGAACGCAAAAAACAAATCTCCACTTCTGTAGACATGTGAAAGCAAGACTGATTGAGATGAGAGGCCTAAGTAATGCTCACCTATGGTATCTATCAGGTCTGTGGAATGGAGAGCTGACTGCTGCGGCCGTAGCAACTGCCTCACTTTGCTGATGCTGCTGGCTTGCCTGTCTCTATGTGTTTCCCTGTGCTGCCTTTTTGTATGGATACAGCATCAGAAATCTATGCATGCTGTTCCCTGTGTTAGAGGAAAATACATCCTGACATAACCTAACACTTTGCACGCTCTATGAGTGTACTGGTGAGAATTACCTCTGTCTGATTTGAAAGCCCCATAGCCTGCAAGTACTAGGCATGGGAGAGCTGACAAAGCTTTCCTTGATGGCCAGTATCACAGTATTGAGGGCTGACTTTGGCAGCTGCTCTGACTTGTGCTTTCCCACTCCTGCTTCCTGTGTGCTGAGTTCAGCAGTTGGTGGAATACAGCTTTGTACAGATTTGTCTGCTTGGAATTGTCTTTATTAGATAAACTTGATGCATCCTGTGTTTTCTCCTGCAATGCCAGTAACACGTCTTCTTTCCACACACATTTGCTTCTGAGAGCACCCAGATATGCTTCTGCTGTTTAGATTAGATGTATATAAAGCATGTACTTACTCTGTCAGCCCTGGTATAGGGTTATGGGCTCTCATCTACGGACACAGAGAGTACAGCAGCTTTAAAAGTTTATGTTGAGTTTTCGTGGTGTTTAGGTGGGTTAATTTCTCTTCTCCACTCCACTGCAAACAGTTGTGTTTTTTAGAAGCTTGTATTGTTATATACGTGAACTATACATGCTTTGGAGTTTGGTCGTCACGTATTTTCACACCATTGCTTTTTTATCTGCAATGCAAGTGATTGTATCACCAGTTTGGGTCTTGGAGAAACTACCCGACAAAGATGCTACCAGCTGGCTCGAGGCTGAGGTATGGCATCTGGTATGCCATAGAGAAAGGAAGCGTGGGACTTGTTCACCACCTTATATGCAATATTTAGCTGCAGATAAACTATTTGATAGGAGGCATCAAGAGCAGCAAAGTAGGATCAGAAGAAAATGGGGGACTGACAGATACATGAAAAATTGCAATGGTGATGTCTCCTCCTTGGGATGGAAATCTTGTCTGTCTTATGATGAACACCACCAAATCGTTGGGACTTCTCTGTCTACCTAGCCTGCTGTGTATCTGGAGGGCCCAGAATTGCCATGCAGTGCACTGGTGAATGACGAGGAAAATCGGAGAGAGCATCATCTCCAAGATCTGGGTGAGCCAGCAGAATGAGGAATCAGGCTGAGACATAGCAGGCACGTTACTGAAACTTCTTGAGACTGAAATTGTTGGGAGGAGAGGAATAAAAGGGACAGCAGGTATGCACCTTTTTATGCAGTTGTCTGCAATTGGGATCAGATCTGCAGGCTGTGGGGCTTGGGAAGTGCTTTGTGGATTCGCATAAATGCCACTGTGAATATCTAACCGGACAAATTCATGAGAGGATGATGCCTACTTCTTCCTTGCTTGCTGCTCTATGTTATCTTCCTTCTCAGATTCACTTGTGCAAGCAACAGCTGCATTCCCCTGTTCCTGGCTTGTTCAGTGCCGCTCTTTCCAGAGTTACTTTCCAGGCTCAGCATGGCCCCAGTTTAACCTTGCTTTCACAACAGCAATTGCTATCTCCACTCAGCACAGTAGTGCTTTGGCATGCAGAATTGTGTGGTTACAAGTCAGACCACTTCAAACAGAATTTGATGTGTAAGGAAACTCATAATTCTACAGAAACAACAGTAAAAAATACTGTTATCATAAGCATTTCATTGTGTGTGGTTGCCAGTCTACTTATAGTTTCCACTGTAATCATTTCCATGTAGCAGAGTGCAGCACATAATCGGCTTTTAATAATTGAATTTTGTATTGTCACGTGCTGCATAAAAAATGCTTTCATCTGACAATATGGTAAGAAATATATTTGTAATACTGAAGTGTACTTACCGCATTGCCCATTCCTCACTGAATTGAAAAATGCCACGCAGTTATATTGTTCCTGTGGAAGTATCTTCATTCATTTGGTCTTTATTTTCTTCCAGACTCTAAAGTATAAAAGTATCTTCTCTCTAAGCAGTTAATCTTCTGATCTTGCTTCAAGCCTGTCCTTTGCTGCAATGTCACTCATCAGCTATAGGTCATTCCACTGTTCTTGAGCTTGCCAGGAATTCTGTTGCAGGTATTAGAGTTTGCTTTTGTTTCCTCTCTCTGCAATCCCATGAGCTGCTTTTCTTTCTATGGCTTCTACCTTTTGCAAGTGATGCTTACTTTAGAGCTCTTGAGAACAGTATTTGTTAATCAAATCAATAACCACTTCCTAGCTCTATTCTGTGTTGTCCCAATATCCCATTAATCCTTGGTTTCCCTCCTTTTCCCTCTGATACATGTGTACACACACACGCGCGCGCACACACGCTTTCTCTCTCTCTCTCTCTTTGTACTCTTCAGCATTTCTTGAATTCTGCTGCTTGTAATACTCCCAATTTGAAAAGAAAGTATCTTTCAAGAAATAGCAGCCAGCAATTCAACTGAGCAACAATTGTTATTTGCATCAAAATCCTCGATTCTTAAAGGGCTCTGTGTGCTGCGGTTATTAACACTTTCAATTGTTGTTTTTCATTTCAGTAACCGCTACAGCAGTGTGGACAACCCAGAATAGCGATGGGGCAGGTGGATTAGATCCACAGTGGTGGACAGACTTGCAAATTTCAGGTCCAGGAAAGGAACACAGAGAAGACCTACATGAAAAGGAAGTTAAATTGATGTACAAGGAGGGAGTAAAGTGGCTCATCTCTGAGAGGCTTTTCTGTTTAGGAAGGAAGACAGGGGAATGATGCAGTTTATTCTGATTTTTGTTTTGTGGATTTTGGAGTGAGGTTGTTTGTTTATGTGTTTATTTTCCAGAACACCTGAGAGTTATCCTGCATTCACACAGTTCAAGAAGGGAAGGGCTAAGGAAAATAATCATTTCTGGCTGCCAAGCTGATACACCATCAGATCGTAGCAGTCATAACTGCCCCTGTTGCACAGTACCACAGGGCTGGCCCCTACCTCCACAGCTGCTCTCCTGGCATCCCACTCATTTGCAAGATTATGGAGAGGAGAACTGGAAAGCAAAACAGAGGCAGTTGTTTGACTCTCACTGTTCTACATCGCTAGCTGCTTGTGAAACAAATGCAGCAACTTGTTTTGGTGTTGTGGTCAGCCTACAGCCCTTTCTGTATTTAATAAAGAAACTTCTGGAGAAGAGTCTGTGAATTCAATATTGAGCATAATGTCCTTTACTGATAGTGGTGATCCTAAAGCTGTTGCCTGTCTTACTCCCTTTCTACAGAAATGCAAATGTATTCAAAATGGGATGGAGGTGGGAGTGTATTTGTACGTGAGTGTGTGTGTGTAGACAATAAAAACATAACCCTGTACCTATCAAACATTAAAGTTCCAAAGCTTCCCTGATGTAGGACTTAGTCTGGCAGTAGATGAACTGAGCACTCTTTCCCAAGTTCTTCCAGAAACGCTATTAGTAGAATAAGAAATTTGGTATAAGCAAAGTGTAGAGTTTTTAAAAGTTTATTTTTTCCACTTCCATGATGCCTTTTAGATACAAGCTTAATGGTTTGCATTTCTGGCTGTAAGCTAATGGATGATTCTCCACACTGCACCGTATCAGTGCTCATGTGGTTGTGTGTATGTTATACCGAAAGGCCTCTGGCAGACGTGATTGCTCTGCTGGTTGTTGTGATTGGTGTTAGAAGTAGAATCACACAATCTCCGAATGGTTTGGGTTGAAAAGGATCTAAGTGATGATGAAGTTCCAACCCCTGCTGCAGGCTGGGCTGCCAGCTGTTAGACAAGCTCTAGGTCAGTTGCCCAGGGCCCCATCCAGTCTGGCCTTGAGGACCTCCAGGGGATGGGGCATGCACAGCCCCTCCGGACATCTTCGGAAACTTCTGAAGGGCTTTGCAATCTTCCATAAATTAAAGCAATGTTGGAAATTTTGAGCTAAGCACCAGAAAGGCAGTATGTATATAAATATGGGGCAAAGCTGGCTAAAGCAGTTCAGCATGTGAGATGCACCTGTCCCTGTAGCAGGACTGGTGCTGTCTCTCTGGGTTATGAGTGCAGTTCCCTGTACTGATGCCAGTTGTGGCCCTATACTAGACGGTGCAATACTTTTTTGAAAGCTGCACTCTGACCTTCTTTGCACTGCATCTTAAATAGTATTTCTGCATTTGCATTTTGAGTAGTTCCTGTGAACTTAGAAATGTTGATCCAAAAGCTATAGCTGTTTGGGAATTACCACCTTGCCCCAAGTGCTTGTAGCTCATCCACTGCTAAAAGCAAATCTTCACTACCTGTAGAACAAAGTCATTTGTTTGTTTGTTTTAATGTGAAAATTAGTGGTTGACTTCTGTAGTTACTCCCTGGAATTGGAAACCTTGCAGAGACTGCTGTAGGGAAGTTTTCTTTCAGAGGAACTCAGATAATTGCCTTCTTTCAATATGTTTTTTGTTGCCTGTTCTCATGTTGAGTCGAGATACAAATAGTTAAAAAGAGAAAACCAGACTGTATTCAGAATTTAGTTTAACCTAATGTGGGAATCATGCAAGCACTAATGTCTGTGCCTTTCCAGATCCTAATATGACTGGTTGACCCTGATATAATTAGTATGAATATCCTGTTGCAGTACTGTCGTGCTGCTTGTAATAGCTTCTAAATGATTTAGAAGAGCCAGCCATGTAGCACCACGTCTGATTTGGGATACAGTCATCACCCCTGCATGGCTTTTCCCCACCTACAGCTGTGCTATCACTGTTGACAGATTGGCTGTCTGGTAAAAGTGGAAGCCATGTGAGCACATGTGACAGATGTGAAGCCTTGGAGGTTTTTTAATGCGACCAGAGTGGTGTATAAAGTGTTTGCAGAGAGCAGCCTGACACCACACACATCCGCTAGCGAGATATGGGGACTAGACTTGTGTTAGCAGGTACAGGAGGCTGGAGTTACAGGGCAGGGAAGCACAGAGGTTGTTTAAATGCTTTCAGAGAGGTGACTTCAGAGGGTCTACATGTTGCAGGTGAGCAACCCCACACCTGTTGCATTTCTGGCAAGCTTTTGTGAAATAATGGAACAGCACCAATCTGACTTTTTGTCCTTGTGGCTGCCAGGGGAGCAAGTCTTTGCAGGGCTGGAGGAGCAAGCCCGCCAAGCCATGATGAAAAACAGCTTTCCTGGAGCTCTTGGGGACCAAAGGCCAGCTATTCATCCGTTGCAAGACCGTGATTTCAGCAGCAGTGAGTTCTGCCCCTTCCAGTAATTGCAAGGTAGTGGACTGGAAAAACTGATAGGGTGAGGCTAGGTGCTACAGAGCTGGTGGGAATTCTCTGAGGACCATTTTACCCATCTTCTCCTCTGAGTTAGCCATTGATTCTTGTGCTGTTGGCTCTTTATCAGCCAACAGTAAGAGCAGAATTGCTCACTAAGGAAAGACAAGCCCATAGCCAATGGCCACAATGCAGGTTGAACAGTAATCTCACCGCTAGAGTGCAGTCCCACAGCACTGGACCAGAATGGTGACAGTACCAGGCTCTGTTGACAGTCTAGTGATCATCAAGCAAAGCCAGGTAACAGGTCAGATCCAGGGACTTAATGTGGTTCTTTGGGGATTGAAGTACCCCCTGAGTTTAAATGGGGCCCCTGGTCTTGAGTGTGAGTGGAGGCCCTAGGTGAGGCTGGTCAGGGCAATTAAGGTCTGTTAGTGCTGTCAGGGTCCTGACAGTTGGAGTAACTGCTTTGTGTGTTCAAGGTGGCAGTGATGATGAGGAAACCACCCATGATGAAGTTTCTTCCCATACTTCAGAGGAGGATGGCTCAATGCTAAAGGTGAAGAAAGAACTGGAGCATGCAGAACAACCTGCAGCTGGAACCCCGCTGATGAGAGAAAATGAGGCAAGTGTGTACTGGCATTGCAGTCCCATCAGTGTCCAAGGGAGAAGGGGTGGGCACTGTCTAGACATCTCTCTGTAACCTTAATTTCATATCTTGTTCCCATAATCACCTTCTCCAAACATCTCCCGTTTAATGGAGATGGTTTTGAGGTGTTCTTGGGCCAGGAACACGAGATAGCAGGGACAAACTACTATTCCCCTGCCTGGACAAAATGATTGTGAAGTCTTTTGCCTCCTTCAGTTCCTGTACCTTTCCCTTCTGCTACCGAGCAGGCCTTGCCTACTAGAGCCACCATGCTGGCAAGATCATGGGTTCAAGTGGAGGTCATGAGGCTTCTGCTTCTTCCTCCTGAGACAGCAAGAGTTTGGCTAAGAGGCTGGATAAAGGAAGTTTTAGACTGTTAGAACTGCAAACCAGCCCCAATGAAACTGGGCACTGCACTTGATCTGGCCTGGGCCATTGTGCAGTCCCTCACTAGATGCTAAGGGAGGGTGGGTGGCTGTGTGGAGATCAGTGTGCCTTACACCATAATGGCTTTCCTTTCCTGTAGGTTCCTGAGAGCTTGAATGCTGACTCCATGCTGGGACTGTCAAAGTGTCCCCTCTGCCAGCTGGAGTATGAAAGCAGAGAGCAGCTCATTGCTCATGTATACCAGGTAGGGGGTGGTTCCAAGTAGTGCGATGTCTGTGGCCTTAAGTGCCTCAGCTGTCCCAAAGTCAGAAACAATCCTGGGCAAGGAGCATGGCTCTGTTCTGATCTTTGCAGTCACAGAACTTAGCTTCTATCTAGGATGCGATTGAAGTTTATAGCAGATAGTCCAGAAAAAGTTCTGGGGAAAAACATAAGCAAAGCAGATGTGGAGATGTGGAGAATACAGCTCCATCCCAAGGCAATCTACGCAAGCAATTGCAAATTGAGACCAGACAGTTCCTTCAGGTTAAACATGGAAGCAGTTCTTACACCATTCAGTGTGATCAGCTGATCATTCAGCTCCTTATTATGTCCCTTTATCATAGTTCCTACCTGTGGAAACAGCTGTTTTTCCTCTGAAATGATTCCAGAATTGGAGTAAGTCTGTGCTGGGAACTCAGGTTTTGTTGTGGGGAGTCTTCACAGCACGTCCGTGTCTGCGAAAGAATGAAGCAGAACTGAATTGGCAACTTAGCTGTACGAGTTGATCGTTTCTAGCTACCATCATAGTGAACTTTTCCTCACCCGCAGGCTGCCTACTGTTAGTATAGTCATGCTTTGTCTAGTAACAGCAGCTCCTCAGATGCATTTCTGAAAACAGGAGTCAGATCTTATGATCTCTTTTGGCCCTACTTGTTTCTCTCACACTGCAGTGAAGCTGTAGAAAGGTCTACTCCTTGCTGTTTAATCTGTGACATCCCAAATGTCTTGAGCTAGTCTAGGAGCTATCAGCTGGAGGATTTACTGGTTAAGTGATCCAGTTCCAGGAGGTTGAACTAGATAATTTGCTATATTCATTGAGCACACCTCAGATTGGGCAGGAAGCTGGGCAATTTGTAACTAACAACTTTGTGGTTGCCTTGCAGCACACCGCAGCCGTGGTGAGCGCCAAGAGCTATATGTGTCCTGTATGTGGAAGAGCCCTCAGCTCACCAGGTTCCCTTGGGCGACACCTCCTGATCCACTCAGAGGACCAGCTGTCAAACTGTGCAGTGTGTGGAGCACGCTTCACCAGCCACGCCACATTCAACAGGTCAGGGTCACCCTGGCTGGTGAGTGAGTGAGTGAGTGAGGGTACCTACAGAAAAGCTTAGGTGCATTGCCTTAAATGACAGCGGAATCATATCTCTGCCCTACTTGCAGCCATTTGTGATCACCCCCAGTGACTGAGATTCCTTTGATCTCTTTATCCCTGCAGCTCCACATCACCTGCTAAAACCTCTGTGATCATTGCTGCTTGAAGGGTGTTTCTTAGCTGTGTGAAATGTAGCGCTGTTCAGAGAGCACTGTGGTCACCGGTCACAGGAGAGAACAGTCATTACTTCCCTTGCCCAGCAATCCATCACACTGAGTCTGTGCTGCCCAGACAGCTTCTCTTTTCCAAAGCAGGACTACATACAGAAACAAAAATGTCCTCATTTATGTCCTGCTGACTAGGCAAATAGAGCTGAAAGAAGAAATACAGAAATGAAAGTGTGGAGCAGCTTGCTCGTTAATCCCTGCCTTTGCACTCTTCTAATCCAAGTAGTGCTCTGGGCAAATCCCATTCCTATCCCTGTATATGTTGCTTGATTTTTAGATATTCAGACACATTTTGGGGCAAAGGCCTCTGTCATAGGCTCTGGTAGGAGCCTCCCTGTCAGTCTGAGATGAGGACTCTTCTGTCAGTACCAAGTCTGACGCTGCTCTTTCTGCTTTCCAGTGAGAAGCTGACGGAGGTGCTCAGTGCAGATCGCCTGCCTGTGCCACAGAGCGAGGGCCCCTCCAGTGTCAGAGGGAAGGACATTACCTTTCACAGCCCTGTGTATCCTGCAGGCATCCTCCTAGTGTGCAACAACTGTGCTGCTTATCGTAAGCTGCTGGAGGCACAGACACCTGGCATGCGAAAGTGGGCGCTTCGTCGGCAGAACGAGCCCTTGGAAGTGCGTCTGCAGCGTTTGGAGCGGGAGCGCACCGCCAAGAAGAGCCGGCGGGACAATGAGACTCCCGAGGAGCGGGAAGTGAGACGTATGCGGGATCGAGAGGCAAAGCGCCTGCAGCGCATGCAGGAGACAGATGAACAGCGGGCGCGGCGGCTGCAGCGAGACCGAGAAGCCATGCGGCTGAAACGTGCCAATGAAACTCCAGAGAAGCGACAGGCCCGGCTGATCCGGGAGCGTGAGGCCAAGAGGTTGAAGCGGCGACTGGAGAAAATGGACATGATGCTGCGGGCACAGTTTGGCCAGGACCCCTCTGCAATGGCAGCTTTGGCAGCTGAAATGAACTTTTTCCAGCTGCCAGTGGGCAACGTGGAGCTGGAGAGCCAACTGCTGGGCAAAATGACTTTTGAGGAGCAGAGCAACAGTACTCTGCATTGAGCTGCAGCCAGAGACTGCCATCTCTGCTGTGTCTGTCACAGGCAAACCAACAGGCTTCCGTGTTCAGGGGGCTGCTATGGCTCCCCGGATGTCACTCCTGCATAGGTAGTTCTGGCTTCCTCCTGAAACAGGAGGAGAATGGAGCTGATTGATATCTGTCTGGGGCTACAGTCTGAGGGTCAACCACCACATTCGAACAGTGGGAAAATAAATTAATGTTTCATGTTTATTTAGCCCCCTTCTGTGCTTTGTCCTATTCTTGGACCCTCACACTATTAAATGGGTTGAGGCTTCTGCAGTTCTGCTATAGGTAAGAAGTATGCCTCAGACTTGTTTACTGCAGCATAAGCTATGGAGATAAGGACTTAGTTCACCATTCCTCCAGGAATAAATACTACTCTGTGTCCATAAAAAGCAAGGGAAAAAAAAAAGTAATCTCCCTGGAAATGGCTGCACACATCCTTTCTGTTGACACTTTTGTTATGTGCTTCCTTGTAGTAACACTCATGGAAAAGCTAACAGGAAACCGAGTTCCAATTCTAAGAAACCTCACTAATGGAAGGGCTGACAAAGATAAGTGAGCACGGAACAGTATAGTAGTTTACAAACGAGGCAATTTTCATTTAAACAGCATTTCAGGTTTGCAAGTGAGAGACATGGACATACTGGAGCAAGTCCAGCAAAGGGCCATAAAGGTGGTTAAGAGACTGGAACATCTCTCCTGTGAGGAAAGGCTGAGCGAGCTGGGACTGTTTAACCTAAAGAAGGTTTGGGAATTGTATAAATGAGTATAAATACCTGAGGGGAGGATGCAGTGAGGTCAGAGCAGGCTCTTCTCAGTGCTGCCCAGTGACAGGAAAAGAGGCAGTGGGCACAAGCTGAAGCACAAGAAGCTCTGCCTGAACATCAGAAAGCACTTTTGTACTGTAGGTGCCAGAACGCTGGCATGGATTGCCCAGAGAAGCTGTGGACACTCCATCCATGGAGGTGTTCAAAAACTGCCTGGATGTGGTCCTGGCTAGGCTGCTCTGGTTGTCCCTGCTTGAGCAGAGGTTGGACCAGATGGACCCAGAGGTCCCTTCCCACCTCAGCCATTCTGGGATTTCGAAGCTAAATGAGCTTATTCAATTTTAATACAGCCAAATGTAATGCTGCTCATCTGGGATCATGGGTCACACATTGAGCAATTCATTCCTGTTGAAAATTCTTCTGTGACCAACAATGACTTTCAGCAGTCACAAGTAACACATGGGAAGGGTTGGGGAAACTGTTAGTAAACAGAAAGCTGTTCTTGCTTCTACACTGTAACAGAACCCATGAGAGTAATGCAGAGAAGTCCTGAGCTGGGGAAGTGCCTAGAAAGCTACAATAATTGAGTCTGGGAAAATCTGCTGGAGAGCAGTGAATTTAAGCCCAGAAGCAGCCAGTGCAGAACGTAGTAGTGGTTTGTACCCATATGGAAATGTTCCCCTTGCTACTACAAATAACTATAAAACTATGCAACTGTGGAAATTAAACCTAAGTATGTTTAAACTGTGAAAGGCAAAATATTAGCGCAGAACTGGGAAGTAAAGGACAGAGAGGTCATACATTCTCCATTTAAGAGAATGGTGGCTTAAGAGGGAGCATCTAAAATTTTATGCTGTAGCTTTTCAAACTTCAGCCCACCACTGTGTGATACACAGCTGCATGTGGTGCCCTAAAGACCACGTTTCCATCCACAGCCTGCAGTACATCTGTGTAGTGGGGAGTTGCTGTCTCTGCATTAAGTCAGAAACAGCCACAAGAATCTCACCTGTGATCTGAGTTAAAACAAGGAACAAAAACTTTCAGGTAGACTAGTCAGAAACAACTTGGTTTTTCAAAAACTTTCGATGGAACGCTTTGAAGGCCACGCTTAAGTGCTTACAATAACTGCATTTGGAATACACAGTGCTCCTTTTTTCTTGACACAAAACTAACCCTATAAGCAGTCTTGTGGGCAAATGCTACCAAAAGCTTTTAATTTTACTGAAGCTTACATTTTTGTCAATGTGCAGAAGTTGTTTTAACTTCTCATTTTCCACAAAGAACTGACTTCTGGAGGCCAGTCTGGCCTCACTCTCTTTGGAAAAGCCACCAGATCTGGCAAGAATCTGTTTGGCTCCATCTTACCTTCTTCCTATCCTCTTTTGTTCTTCGAGCTGATCTCTCACTTCTATTCTTACCTCCATTTTCATACCAAGCTGACTGTCTGCTCTTTGCAGCAGTTGCTATTACTCTACGATGCGTGTTCTGCTTGGCCAGCAGAGTGTTGTTTTGCTGTGCAAACTATGGCTGAAGCTATAGATCCCAGATCACTGTAAGAACACAGAACCCACATCCAAGTGATTGCTGATGCCACAGACAAGCAAAAAGTCTCAAACACCAAAGAAAAAGCTATTGGTTTATATATAGATATATAGATAGATAGATATATACTGTGTTTACAGAGTCAACAAGTTAAATGGAATATTCATAAGAGCATTAACAATAAAAATACAATCTGTGTGTAGCCAAGTACAGACTTAAAATGGTAAAACAGGAAAAAGGATCTCACCAAAAGTACAAATATACAGTACAAATTGATTTATTTAAAACAGTTACAAAAAAAGCACAACAAAATAGAGATTATCCTTAGAATTATTAATGCTTTGTTAAAGATCAGGTAGGAGAAAAGGGGTGGGAGCAAGTTTGGAGAGGAGCACCTGACTAGTTCTAAGGCTTTAGATACAATGCAGTTGGTTACATGTTAATACAGCCATTACATAACTGGGATTATAGTTGAGGGGTCAGCACTTATCTACAAAGACCTCCTTGTGTCAGGGCAGCCCAGCTGGTCCCCCAGTGCCACACATCTTTCTCTGCTTTGTGTGGGCAGACCCTTCCCTGGCTCTGAGGTGCCACAAAGGCAGAAAGCAACCCAGATGCGCGTGGCACGTTGGCAGGCAGGGCAGCAGCAGCCTGGGACGTCGGGGCAAGTCCTGTCCTGTGTGGACAGACATGAAGATCACGGAGGAGTCTCGACCACCAGCGTGTTAAGCCCTACATGGAACACACCCTGGGCCAAACTCTGTACAGAATGTGCATTCGTAGCCATCTGAGCAGCTTCTGCAAAGTTTCAGGCCCAAGACAGCCTGAAAGGCAAAGAGCAGTTGTGAGTGACGCTAGGGAAAGGCACATGTACTGCTATGGGCAGGAACTAGCATTTGGGCTACTCAAGCTGCTGCAGTTTCCATTTAAAATATTTTCTAATAAGGTTTGTTAGTTCTCTACTGGGGAAAGTGACTTCAAGTGTGGGGTGGGGACAGGAGGGTCAGGGACACAATGTGAAAAGTGCATTATACTTGTGCACCTGCTGGAAAGGAGAAGCAGAGGGACCTCTGCAGCCTTCCTCCTTTCCAGACAGAGCTTCCTCTGCATAGTCTGGTAGTGATGAGCGCTCGTCACCTGGAGCAAGTCTCGCGTTCCTGGAGGAACAACGTATGCTTGGCCTGGAAGCAGCCCTGGCCTCTGCTGGGCAGCCGGCCCAAGGAATGTTTCATGAGACGGAACAGATGGCTACAGACATCCATTACTGCATCCTTCAGACTCTTCCCACAACCTCCACACAAGCTGGGTAAGACCAAGGCCAGGACATCTCCTCCTCCAGGTAGGACAGACCACAGCTCTCCCTCCCTTCACAACAGCAGCAGGAAAATGGTTTATTTCTCTAATAAGCCTGTCACATCTTTGCCTGCAGGAAGGCCTGGAAAACCAGCTGATTCCACAATCTCTTCCTGGCTTTCTCTCTCCTACCCCTGTAAACCTAAGAAACTGAAGCTTCCTCCATGGGTTTGTTCACAGTCTTTCTGGCCACAGCAGAGCCTGTCTCACACTCCCTGTCCTGGGAGAGCCTGAACACAACACAACCACCACTGCAGGAAGTGAGCCTTGCAGCCCAATCCAGTAAGGAAAGATTCCAGTGATTACAACTACTGTTTAGAAGGGCTAGAGGGCCTCCAGTGTTCCCATCCTGACAACAGCCAGTGGGGCAAGCAGCTGAGATGACAAAATCCTTCATCTTAACACCCATCCATGAGACTTGCCCCCAGCTGTTGCTTCCAGAGAATACAAGACCTGGCAGCTGAAACACACACCAGTGTGGGGAATTTGGATAGAAACCCCAAGGTCTAATGCACCCCAATCCTCTCTGAAAAGCTCAGAACCATACTGGTTCTCAGAAACAGACTGGTGGCAGGAAAACACCAGGGTGAGCACAGGCACTGCCCTCCAGTTGCCCTAAGTACAGAGCTATTCTCGCTTGGCAGCATCTTGCCTCATACACCTGCTCTTTCAGACCGCTGCCCAGAGCTAGAGGTTTACAAGCAGTAGTACAGTGACATACAAGAGACAAGGCAGGCTCACCAAACTCTCAGTGACTTCTGTCTTTGAACAGGCGCTCGAGAGGTTCTGCACCATTCAGCTGTGCAAACACTCTGAGTATGGAACATCCCTTCTACATTCATTGGCTGTACTTGATGCAAGATCCCTTCCTCAGCTGGCTACCACAGTTCTGAGTTGCTCTGCATGCACCATGCAAAGAAGGGCAAGAGAACCCGGGCTGCACTGCCTTCTGGTCTCGGCACAGACACCCTGGATTTCCTGAGTATGAGATACTAACCAGCATTAGTCAAGGCCGCTGTGTAAGACTTCAAGGAATAGCAACAGTGAATCACGCGAAGTGACAGCCAGGCACCAGGGCCCAGACAAGGCGTTTCACTTACAAACAGCGCCATGAAGACAACATCCTTCCCGCAGGCAAAGGAAGCAGAACCTCCATGTGACAGTGTCACCATGACTTTGTACAATTCTGAATGCAGCTGATGAGATCATGAGCTGTGTGTCATTGGGGGAAAGCTACGCAAGACACAGGCAGCATCCTCACTCTGGAGAAACCCTGTGAGGCACAAACACTGAAGGCGTGAACAGAGCATATCTCAACTAAGGCCTGAAAATAAACTGTTTTCTTCATGCAGGCATTTCAAAGGCAATAGAAATTGCTAGCAATGTACTAGGAAAACAGATTGGTGGAAGAACCATTCAGAAGATTCTCTAGCTTGCCTAGCACCTGTGCAAAACATCCTTGTCATGCAGCCAACTGAAGCCAGATGTTTAGAGGACACCTTTCTGGATGGAATTTGGACTGTCGCACTGCAAGCGAGCTGAGCG